ACATTCAGTGAAATTTTCATGTATCTACAGTTATTTGTTTTTGAATTACAACAAAATAAGGAAATCGCTACATGGGAAATCGAGTGAATATTCAATGTTGTAAAAATTTGAATTTCAAACGCTCATAAAAATTTAATTTGACTTTCTTATAAACATTTTTCTTTTGATAAAGGTAGACAAACTTATAAGGAATCTTGTGTTTAATTTTCAAATCTTAGATTTAAAAAGAAAAATTTTTACGAATTCTTAACTCAAAATAATTTGCTAATTTTCGTGATTTTCCCATATTTTGTCAATTTTTGAACTTTAAATGCTTATAAAAAAAAATTGTGACTAAGGATTTTTAATATTTTTCATCTGCCTTTGAAGCAATATATTAGGAGCCTTCTATTAAATTTTCAAGCTTTCGCAACCAACAAATAAAATTTTATTGATATTTTAAGAAAAAAAACTAAAAAAAAATGGAAAATGAAAATGTCCCTAAACAGTTCAAAATAAATCAAAATATTTTGAAAATGTTATCGTGTATAGAAAATGCAAATATTAACAACCAGTGAAATTTTCATGTATATACGTTCATTTGTTTTAGAGTTACACCAATAACCAAAATCGATTTTTTGGAAAACCAATTTTGCGTAAAAATTCCCGTTTTTCCTTAATTTTTGTGTTGTTTTTCCCGGCGCTTGTGAAAACTACTGCGAAATTTATACTTTTGACCCCCCAAAGTACCAACTAGATTCACTTTCCTATCAGAAAAGCTACTGATAAAGAAAATCTAAGACTTTACCCTAAACGGACAAAAAAAAAAAAAATTTTAAAAACTAAAAAAAATAAAAAAATGGTTTTCAATCGTTTCAAAATCAAAAAATATTAAAACGGAATTTTTACTCAAAATTGGTTTGAACAAAATCAAAAACTTTGTTTTTGGTGTAACTCGTAAACAAATGACCGCAGTTACATGAAATGTCTATATTTTAATTTTCTATACACTATATAGTTTTGAAAAATAGTGTGAATATGTAAAGATGGTTAACGGACATTTCATTTTATTTAGTTTTTTTGTCTTCGATAAATGTTAAGAAATTTGTATTTTTTGTGTCGAAAAGCGTTAAAACTAATACATTTAACACTAAGCATTTAAAGTTCAATTTTTGACAACAAATATCAAATTTTAAATTTTAAAATGATTTTGTAGCAAATAATTTATAAAATGTTCAACTTTTATAGCTAAGGATTGAACATTTAAAACAAGATTCCAACAAGTAGGTTATTCTGTAACCAAAAAATCTCAAAAAATAAAACACTATTTTTTTATTGTTATTTTATGTTCAAATTTGGACGAAATTGCACATTAAATAACCAAGAACATTATTTTGTTGTAATTTTGTTATATTAATTCAACTTCCCGGCTACCGTATTAATAATAAGTAATAACATTATAGGTATAAACATAATATAAAATATCTACACTGAGAAACCGTCGCCGCTCGGAATCCTTTTTTGTGTATTGCAATAATGATATTAAATCATTGAATTCAAATTTAACACCATCCATTATACAGTGACCCACTTATAACATACTGTACAGCAGAGCAACATCCACTTGCCCACATTGTAAAAAAATATTATTATATAAAATTATATCGAAAAAACAAGCGTCTTACATTTCAAAAGTATCCAACTCAGCAATTTTCAACCTGCAAACCTGTAGACAATCATTGTAGAGTCTTGAGTATCTATAACATTGGGAAGTAAAATTGCTGAGTTGCTTATTCGTTGAAACGTGGTATTAAAAAATTAATTTAGGTACACATATATTCGTCTATACATACTTATTTACACAAACCGAATAGGTTATGGGTACAAATGAAAATTTTTTATATGCTTAATATTACCCCTAGTAAAACTTCCCCCTTCTGTCTATAAATTCCATCTGTACCATTTTAGATTTTGAGTGGAATGATGAATGTATTGATTTTACAATGATAAGTGTTTTTGTGTCTGTGTGAGTAGTCGAAATAATGCTTCGATTATCAACTTCAGTATCTTGTTCTATTGGAAAGTGAATATTGTTGGTGCATTAAGGAGGTCAAAATTTAAAATTCCCAGTAATTTTCAAAAGCGCCAAGAAAAACAAAAGAAAAATAAGGAAAAACAGGAATTTTTACTCAAAATCAATTTTGGTTTTTGGTGTAACTTTAAAAAAAATGACCGTAGATACATGACATTTTCACTGGTTATTTATATTTCCATTTTCTATACATGATAAATGTTTCAAAATATTTTGTTTTGTTTTGAACTGTTTAGGGACATTTTCAGTTTCCAATTTTATTAATTTTTTTTCCTATGAATGTCAATAAAACTTTATTTGCTGAGTTAAAATACTTGAAAATGTAATACAATACTCCTACTATATTGACATATTGTTAGAATGATATTTGAAAAATATTAAAAATCCTTATTTACATTAGTTTTTATAAGTATTTAAAGTTCAAAAATTGACAAAATATGGAAAAATCACAAAAATTAGCAAATTATTTTGAGTTAAGAATTCATAAAAATTTTTCTTTTTAAATCTAAGATTTTAAAATCTAATACAGCGTTACTCATAAGTTTGTCTACCTTTATCAATAAAAAAATCTCTATGAGCGTTTGAAATTCAAATGTTTACAACATTGGATATTCACTTGATTTCTCATGTAGCGATTTCCTTATTTTATTGTGATTGTATTATATTATTCGTGGGTACTTGAAACTTCTAAAGTGTACTATTATATATATCTATGATAGTATCATGGTTGGTTATTGATGTATAACGCGTTATAAGTACCTAATGAATATTGTGATATGATTAATTTGGAATTTATTATGGGTACCTATTATAGGTCATTTTTTTTTTAATACCATAGATAAGTATATTATATGTCTTATACCTAGACTGACATACCGTCTCCTCTCAGAATCGTTTTTCTTATACAATGATATTTTATCATTGAATTCAAATTTAATACCATCCATTTTAAAGTGACCCACTTGTAACCTACTGTACAGCAGAGCACCTTTTTTACCTTTAAAATAACAATAATAATTTTAACGTATATTAATGTTAGGCGATATGTATTAATTTTGAGTCCTATGTACACAAATTTACACCTAATGCATTTCATAAAATAACCTATTATAGTCAAAAAACATTCTTGTAAATGATACTTTATAAAAGTATTCAAGTATAGATACAGATACTTATTTTGAATAGTATTTAAAATACATATTTGAATACTCAGCAAAAACAGTACCTATTTGATTACAAACTACAAATACAAATACTTAAATTAAGTATTTATACCTAGATGCTTTCAAATTTTTTATAAAATTTTATTGATAATATTAATATTTAAACACCGCATCATTTTTGGAACTTTAAAATACTAAAATGTTTTCTTTGTGGAAGTATTTGATTTTCGGTTGAGTATGATTCACAGTAAAAAAATTATTATTTTATAAATTCTAATTTTTATTTTTATTTTACGTGATTAAAATTAAAAATAGAAAATATATATTAACTAAAAAGAATTATTAAAGTATTTGAAATTTAGTATATTTGATTTAAAATACAGATACCTACTTCAAAAAAGTATATAAAATACTTTTTTTTCAAAAGTATTTAAAATACGTATTTGTTGACTCAAAATGTAATTTAATACTTTTACTACAAGCACTTTAAAACACCGTTAAAAAATATTTTACATCCCGTTCTACAGATTTAGGACTGTTAGGACACAATATGCCAAAATGTTATACTTAGAGTACCTACCAATTACAAAAAAATTGGACTTATTTATGCGTATATTCAGCCATACATATTATTCTAGTCTCTAGGTCTGGAACTAACTCCTGAATTTACATGCACCCATTTTATAAATTACTACTTCATTAATGATGGGCTCTATACCTACCAAACGATTTATCATCATACCTAGCATCATTAAATTAATTTTTAAATAAATACAATTAATAATAAAAAAAGAAAATGTTTTATTTTATCACATGGCGAGTTAGTTTAAAAATATAGATGCAAAAATGTTTTATACGTTATACAAGCATATACAGCTAGTAGGTAGATTATGTGTGCTGTGTGTATAATACATAGGTAGCAGGTACCTACTGTATAAATTTAATCAATATTATTAATAGTGTAATTGACATTATGCTCGTGCCGTAAACATAAAATGTTAAGCAATTTAATTTCATTAAATACTCTCCTGGTAAAAATGCTTAAAGTTCACAAAAAAATAACTTTTCACGTTTTTTTTCGTGATATAAAGGAGTTGAGATAGAAAATGCAGTTAGTTATTCTTTTATTTCCATCATAATATTTTAATTAAGCAAATTCCATTAGTTTCGATGTTCGGTCATTTCGGCTGAGCAAAGTACTTATATACACATAAGCCAAGTAGTTTTAATAATATTTCCTCCATTAACTAGACGTTTTGTCAAACGCCATTAATTTAATTAGTATTTAATCTTAGATATTTCACTAAAGGCCATTCAGAAATGATTCCATTGTTTGCATTGACGAGGATAAAACCATAACGGACATATATATACTCTAACCCAGACAAATTTTATGGATAGTAAATTCTTATTTATTCTAATTTAAAACACTTATAATATAACAGGCATGTAATCCATCCAGTAGATTATTCAGAATTTTATTTTTTTCAAGCGTGCACACACACACACACACACACATACACACGCACCAGTGGAGTATCTACAGGGGGTGATATCTCCCCGACTCCCCCCCCCCGGAAACCAAATGTTGTCCCCAATACAACATGTATATAATACTATGAACATAATACGTGTATTAGACTGAATGTCCATTAAAAATTGTAAATCTCTCCCACCCTTTGAAAAAATCCTAGATACGCTACTGAAACGCACACAGATAATATATTATACTAAATACTAATAATTCTAATCATCCATTAACTTACAGCTGGTAGTGCGAAGAACGAAATCGCGAATACGCTGAAACACGAGGCGACGATCTTGCCGATCCACGTCTGAGGCACTGCGTCACCGTAACCTATCGTCGTAACAGTGATCTAGAGATGATGGAAACAAATAAAAAGTGTATTTATTTTTTGTTTATATAGTATTATTATTGATTATTTATATTTTTTATTATTAATCTAATATGGAAGTAGCTCAAGATAATTTCGAAAAGTTATGTAATTACTAGATACATCTTAGAAATTATACAATTTATTTTAATAATTATTAACTATATAATATTATATTAATATTATACAACAAACGACATTAAGATACATATAGCCATATAGGTATTTGCTCACATATTGTATATAATAAATTTGTTTTTGATTAATTATATGGTATTGTTTTAGTGCAATGTTAAAAATCAATATTTTAATATTTTACTTGAAACAAGGATTGGATTTTTTTTGATTTTAAGACATTAAACAGTCAGAAAAAGATTATAATATTATAGTTTTAAAATACGAATACTAGACCAATCCATTTTATAACACGATCAATTTCTCAAAAATATAATTAAATTACAAGATGTCTTATAAAACTTAAATAATTTCATAATAAACTAATTTATCAAAAAGAAATAACCATAAATTAGATAAAAATCTATCGAAACTAGCAAAATGTATACATGTTAGTAGGTACTGATAAAATAAAAATTAATTTTTAATTTTTTTAATTTCTTGTTTATGTCATGGCACGTACAGTGGTGAAAACTTTTTTTTAATATTTAAACTTTGTACATAAGACAAAATATAATATTATAGTGGGTACACTTTCAAATATATATACATCCTAAATACTACTAAAATTAAGATTATTACTATTATATTTTTTTTATTATTTTTATTGTACATCAGAGGAAAATTCTAAAAACGTTACCAATTGCAACCAAAAATGTGTAAACAAAATTAACTTACCACTCCCCACCAGAGCGCGTCCGCGTAGCTGGAAAAATCGTTTCTGGATTTCCCATCCTTACTGACCGCATCTTTTTCAGCGAGGTAAACAAAGTAGCTGCTAAATATTAAACCTAAAAATCCTATGTACAACGTAGTGATGAGCTCCTAGAATAATATTAATAAGGAAAAAAACCTCAATTAAACAGTGATCGCACTAGTGTTTTAGTTTGTATAATTTCACAACTAGCAAACGTTTCGATAGTCAAGGGTGGAAACTCTGTCACGGTGGTGGCGATCGAGAGGCGAAAAGCTTAAACAAAACATGAACCGAAAATTTATGTTTCGAGATAGTTTCTTTTCACGCGTCATCTACAACACGTTTACACAATAATTTAATAATAAATACACAATAATTATCTTCTATCATATCTAACATAAGAAGAAGAACAACAACAACAACAGTCAACAATAGACTGACTGAATCCCGCACCACCGTCCGTATATATTTCTACCGGCCTATATTATGATATAATATTATTTAGTTGTCAATTTTTCACTCAGTTTTCCCTCTTCTCTCTGTACATTATACACACGACAATATAATATACCTATGTCCTCTATACATATACAGCCACAACCGATTCACATAATGCAGCTTGCGTGGTTCACATCAGAAAACATTTCGCTTTTGTTTGCCTTTAATTAAAGTTTTTTAATTAAAAACTTTCGGTTCCGAGCTATAACATTATAATTTGCAATAGAACGCCGCGGTCTCGATCTGCTTAGAAATCCTTCACGGACACTGCGAATATATTATTATTATTCGATTCTCCCGAATATTATTAATATTATTTCACGAGTTTTATACCGTGTCTGCAGTCTGCTCTGACGTTTCCACAAGTAACATAACAACAACAACAAAAACAACGACAACAATAATATTAATACATAGGTAGTAGCTGTATTTTGACTTTCGATCGTTTTGCAAACGTTGTTTCATTCAAAATATGTCTCCGAAACTCACTTGTCTATGAATAAATACAACTGAGCCGAGAAGCCGCCATGTACCGCCCTGACGGTCCACGTGAAGCATTCTCAATATTTGTAGAAACCTAATGCCTCTTATCGCCGATGTGGCAAACACCTGTCCGTTGGAACCGATCGATAAGACCACGATTGATGCCACGACGACGATTAGATCTGTGAAATAAAATGTAATTTGTTAATAATTGACAAAGCTCAATATTAGATGTATTCGTATAAAAATCGAACACGGCCAGCAGAAATTTAATTTTAATTTTGATCGTTTGATTGCGTATTGTTTATTTTCTAAAAACTATTAAAGATTTAATAAATTGATACACAATTTTCTAGTACTCGATTTTAAAAACAAATAGATGTTCGATATTATTTTTTTTTAAACATATTATAAAATATGTAAGTATAAAATAGATGACAAACTTACTAATACATTATTGTTAACGTTTCTACATCTACTATTTAACGATATATATTTATATAAATTATGTATAAAGGACAAAGGTATATGAAACTGAAAATCATGTACCTATGTTTTTTTCGTTGAGAAATTGCATATTATTATTACCATACATAGCTGCAGTCTGCGGCGGTATAGGTACAGGTACCTACGGTGCACAGAATGCAAATTTGCTGTACTTGCGTATTAACTATTTGTTAAATAATTATCACCATATACGTACCGCATATATGCTGTTTTAGGTAAATTCCGTGAAACTTAATTACAAGCGGTCAGTGCACTATTTTTTTGTACAAATTTCAAACTGTTCCGTGTTTGAAATGATTACATAGTAATGCCATTATAAAGCTGCAGACCGCCGCCGCAGTTGCAGTTATATACGCATTGACTGTCAGCGTTGATAACATTTAAATTAACGCCTGTTCGATGTACACAATAATGGATGATAATGTTATATTTTTATTATATTATGAACATGTGCGCTGTCAGAATATTTTATTTCGATCCTAAACTTGTTTTTGTTTCTGTCCCCTGTAACACACATACACTGTGTACATACATTACATGAACGTCATGAACCGATCGTATTGTATGCCAGCTATATCTAGACCATAATTCTAGGTATGCATTAAGTATTTGAGCACATTGTGTGACATATCATAATATGAATCCTTGTAGAGATTTAGATTAGGATAATGGTTTTATTATATCTAGGTATCTATAATAAGTAAGTAGGCAGAGTGATAAGTCTATCGAATTTATACGTGCCTTCATATTTTAATATTATAATAGTCTATCGTGAATGAAAAATATCGAACAAGATATTATGTTTTTAAATTTAAGGTCATTATAAAATTATTTAAGTCGTTCGGTGAAAAATGATTTCATAAAATCGATATTATTTAAGGCTGTAGCTTAAGGGGAGGAGCAAATTAAATATTTATGATTGTACGTATATTTTTATAGTGGTTTAATAACGATACAAATTTACAATACAATATGATAATAATTGAATTTGTTAAAGGTGTGCGTAACAGTAACAGTTGTTGAGGGACCATAGGCAATTTTGTAAAATCGTTTCAAGAAAACAATATTGAAAGACGTTGGATACCGATTGTTTTTAGCTCAATAAAGGCAATATACTTAAGTGCGTGCGTGCTGCATACATATCGTGCAAAACTGTGCGTGGTAAATAATTATTAATTATTAGCGACTCGACCGCATAATTGTACCGCGCAAACAATTTTTGTTTTTGGCTAAATGTGTGCCATTTTGTCAGTCAATTTTGAAAATAGATTTGTATTCTCAGTTAGATTGCAATACCTACTTATCAAAACGACATCGACATTCCCACTTTTTACATTTGGCGTAATGAATTTCACATTACATCATTTATGCAGATATTGGAAAAAAAAGAAAATATATTTTGGAAAGAACAAACAAAAAAAAAAACGATCGATTTACTAATTACTTTCTTCAAAAAGTTATATTAATTGTATTACAGAATTACGAGTTCACCAAAGTAAGTTTTAAAGGGTTCTATATATAGGCAATTTTGTACTAATTCAATTAAAGACATTTAAATATTGGCAAATTATTAGTTCGCGTAAGTAAAGATTTGTAATGGATTAAACATTATAATATACCTATTATAATAATTTAAGTTTGAAATAATTCAAATTGTTACAGAATTAAATAAAATATAATAAATTGTTTTACGATATAACTGTGGTATATTTTCGATTTATCAAAAGTATATTAAAACCAGTATAGTTAACACCTACATTCCATTTTATAACACTTAAAATTTAACTTCTCTTGATACTTCCTGTATACTGTCTATTAGGAATTTCTTCAATTTGATTAATGTTGTACACTTGTACTCATAAAATAAGTTACAGTAATTATGTTTTCTCTTCCTAAAAGCCAGTGAATTGCATTCAAATAAATAATGACATTAGGTGTACAAATTTAGGATGTGACCAGTTCCGTTTGTTCATTGTGTTAAGGGGATTCGATACCGTGATTTTCTGTTTTTGTCTAACTGATAAGATTTCTGAAAACAGATTTGAATTTGTCGTCAAGTCTACTTGAAATCGACTTTCCCACATTTTTGATTTTTTGATTTTAACTTCTCCAAAAATTAAAATAACAGAATTTTTAAATACTCTTTTTGAATATGACTTTTAAAAAATTTGGGGGGTAATATCAAAAATGTGGGAAAGTCAATTTCAAGTAGACTTGAGGACAAATTCAAATCTGTTTTCAGAATTCTTATCGCTTCATTTGATCAATTGGTATGTTTGGCAAAAACACGTCTAAAATACTATTTCGCTCGTGTGTTAGACAAAAACAGAAAACCACGGTATCGAATCCCCTTAAGTCGTGTTTGTTATTTATTTGCCAAGGTATGAGATCGTGTAAAAATGCAAGGTGTCAGATTCCGAGATTCACGATATGATACCTGCAGTATTCAAAGTAATATAGGTATAAGATAGGGTATAATCATTAAATATGAATGATGAATTACATATGAAACGCTCTAACATGAACCCGAACCCTTGATTTGATTGTGAATATTGTACAAAAAAACAGAGGAGAAACTGAGAAAGTACACTTATCAAAACTATACCACAAACGAAAGGTAACAGTGACGCAAATATTTATATGAACAGAAATTTAGACACCGCTAATAGATTAGGTAGATGAAATTATCAAAAATTAGATAACTACCGATGAAACTCTCTTAACTCCAAGTAACAGGATACTAGAACGGAAAAAAAACTTTATTCAACGGCTTGAAACCGATTACCGGTTGAAAACCGTTAACCTAAAACCGTTTACTATTTTTTTTATGTCGATCTTATCCTCGGTATAATATACCTGTATCTAACCATTCTTTTATTCTGTAATCTCTTAGCTACTAATCAAAAACAATTTTGACTGTAAATTGTAATAACTATCATAATTTAATAAATTAATATGGCTCTATTAATCTCATTAACTGTATAATTAGATCAAAATAAATAGGAGGATCCTGTTTAGATCATGTACTTTTAAAATCTAATATATTAACGTAATTTTAAAGTATTTGTATCTCATACTTCTTTAATTGACCGTTTTAATATAATAATGGTATTTCTAAATGGGGAGGTACGCGCCTGTATGAAACTATAAAACAACTATAGTCCAATAAAAAAAAATAAATATATTTTACAAAGCGTTGATACTTTAAATAATTCAAATAATTCAATCTTACTTTTAACACTGAACATGGATATAGACAATCTCCAATATCAAAATAACACCTTCCTCGGTTCAGAAATGAACAATATAATACTACCATTAGAGATTAAACATGGTAATTCTTACAAAATTCTTAAAAAAAAATTTACACTTTGACTACCTACTACCTATCACTTATAATAACTAAATATAGACGTATAACAAATTTATAGGATAATCACAATACTAATTTTTACATTAATTAGATAATGATTTTACTAATTATTGATTATTTTAGTTGAATATAGCTTTATATTTAATTATTTAATTTCATGATTTTATACACAATATTACTACATTATATCACTGTATGATGGATGGTATTACATTTGAATTCAATGATATAATATCATTATGTAAGAGAAACGATTCTGAACAGAGACGGTATGTCAGTCTAGGTATAAGACATATTATATACTTATCTATGGTATTAAAAAAAATTTACCTATAAAGGTACCTATCATAAATTCCAAATTAATCATATCACAATATCCATTAAGTACTTATAATGCGTTATACATTAACAACAAATCGTGATACTATCATAGATATATATAATAGTACACTTTAGAAGTTTCAAGTACCCACGAATAATATTATACAATCACAACAAAATTAAAATGACTATAAAAATAAACTGTGTCTATGTACTTTTTAGATTTGTTGGTAACAGAATTAACCACTTACGAGGAATCATGTTTAAATTTTCAATCCTTTGGTATAATAGTTGAAAATTTTATACATTTTAACTACAAAACTATTCAATTTTAAATTTGATAAATTTTGCCAAAATTCGATCTATAAATGATTTAAAAAAAAAAATGTGCCTGTGTATTTTTCAACTGCTATTGTAACAATTTATCAGAAGTCTTGTATTAAATTTTTATACTTTTTGCCCCAACAGATAAAACTTTATTGATATTCATAGAAAAAAAAAATTAAAGAAATTGAAATATGAAATTGTCCGTAAACAGCTTAAAACAAGTCTAAATATTTTGAAAAGTGAATATCCAATGTTGTAAATATTTGAATTTCAAACTCACATAAAAATTTAATTTGACTTTTTTATAGCCTTTTTTTTTTCGATAAAGGTAGATAATCTTATAAGGAATCTTGTATTACATTTTAAAATCTTAGATTTAAAAAGGAACATTTTTATGAATTCTTGATTCAAAATAATTTTCCTAATTTTCGTGATTTGTCCATTTTTTGTCAATTTTTGAACTTTAAATGGTTATAAAAAAACTGGGACTACGGATTTTTAATATTTTTCAAATGTCATTGTAACAATAAAGTATGAGCCTTCTATTCAATTTCCAAGTATTTTTACTCAACAAATAAAGCTTATTGACATTCATAGAAAAAAAAAACTAAGAAAATTGGAAACTCAATGTGTCCCTAAACAGTTCAAATCAAATCAAAATATTTTGAAAATTTTATCGTGTATAGAAAATACAAATATAAGCAATCAGTTAAAATTTCATGTATCTACAGTCATTTTTTTAGAGTTACACCAAAACCAAAGTCGATTTCGTTAAAAATCAATTTTATGTAAAAATTCCGGGTTTTCCTTAAGTTTTCTTTTGTTTTTCACGGTGTTTTTGATGATTACTCGGAATTTTAAATTTCGACCTCCCCAAGCAACAATAATATTCACTTTCCCATCGAACAAGGTACTGAAATTGAAAATCGAAGCATTATTTCGACTACTTATTGTGTACACAGAAACAAAAAAAAATAAAAAGAAACACTCATCATTGTAAAATCAATACATTCATCGTTCCACTCAGAATCTAAAATATGTATTTATTTATATTAATATATTAGTTTTACGAGAAAAATGTATTGTAGGTACCTACCTATTTAACTGTAATAATATTTTAATGAATTTGTATTTCAAATCGGGGACTCATGAGTGATGAACCCTCACACGCGAACATATATCAAGCCAACCCCATTATCTTCTCGAAGAATAGTTTTTTTATTTATAAAGATATTTACTAAAACAATAGGTAAATTTTAAATATCGTAAATAATACAAGTATCACATGAATAATTTTTGGAGGAATCTGTTTACTAATGGCACATTGGAATGAATAGTTATAAATAAAAAAATGGGTCAAAAATAGTGTATAATTAATGATTTAAAAAGCGTTTAAATGGATATTAATTTTATTTTTATTATATTTACTATAATCAATCCCGGATTAAGGATCTATTGGGCATCGGGACACCATACACTTAGTGGGCCCCCTTTCAACTTTAACTTCAAAATAATTGTATCATTACATATTAACGACTTTATACTATTGTATAATTTTTTACTATACAACAAATATACAGAGTGTATCTTATGTCATTGTACGTGGTTTTTTTTAACAATTATGGACCGATGATATGGATTTCATTAAAACAAAAAAAGACATGTTTCTTTATTTTTATAACATTTTCAAAATGTTTAAACACGCAGTTGTACCAATAATAAAATCGACTTTATTTTTTCAAATGGTAACCACTTATTTTTTTATGGTTTCTGGTGAAGCTTTTTTTCTGAACACTTTAACAGTCAAATGATCAATTTGGTCATTAGGTCCCTAGGTTATTAATTATGGTCCTCTAAAGTTTAGTATAATATGCATTAATACTTTCAACTGAAATACCTAATTTACAAGAGCTAAATAATTTATATTTAAGCATACAAAAAGTTAAATTGGTAATTTAAAATGCTCAAAAAAAAAAAAACAAACAAAATTGTTCGCAAACATAGTTCATTATTTATAGTAATTTTTTATGATATAAAATTGAGAACAATTTTCTTTTATAATTATTAATAATAATTTACCTACTCTACCTACCTACTTAAATAATAATTTTTTTTTTAAAACTATATTGGACGCGTTAAAAAAATATATTTTGGGGATAAAGATGGGCCCCACAAAATCAATGGGCCCCGGGTCCGTGCCCCCTTGCCCCCCCTTAATCCGTTCTTGATTATAATAATTTAGTATTATTATGTGTATTATGTTTTAAATCGTAATATTATCTATATGGGACACTGGTAACTGGAATGTAAGCGCTCGTGGTTATAATACATACATCGATAGTGATAATCATTTAACAAATTCCTGATGATGCAAATTCGTAATCCATTAAGCTCTGTAAAATTATGCGAACGCATATGTTCAGAGTTATGTACTAGGTATGTACACATCATTTTATTTGTGCCTGTATAAAATATTTTACGAAAATAGTTTAATTTGAGTGAAAATAACTGATATATTATATATTCTACTTATACCATAATAATAAGAATATAATAATATTATACGGTATAATAAGTTATCCAATTTCGTTTATACCGGTAAAAATAACATTGGCACAACTAAACAATCGGCAACATTAAGAGTTATTTCGAGCGTTATGTGATAAATATTTCTTTATATATATATAGATACCAGGTATCTGGTATCTGCATTGCGTATATCATAAAATATTTACTTACCGATGATGCATATGGGTTTCCGGATGAAACGGAACCTGCCGAAACTGCCCATGTACTTGGACCTGCAACCGGCCGACCATAATCGTATCATATACTCGACGCCGAAGAACACGACCAGGCAAATTTCCTGCGTAAGACAACGAAAATTGACAGTTATTGTTAATTTTTTTATGTAGACGAAACTGGGGATAATGCGACCACTGAATATGAGTGTTGTAGTACTTGTAATAATTATACAAAATTGATATTTGTATGCGATTTTTGTTGTAATTAAGGTAATGTTCAGGTCCATAATAAAAAGCGACTTGAACTTTATTGAGCCAATTACCAATGTACATGAAAGATAATTTGAGAGCCAATTATATCTCCAACCATAATATCTAATGGTTAACTAATTCATTATTAATTTAAATTATAAATAAAATAAATGTATTGTGTAGTTCTCGTCTTTTGAACATAATCGTTGGACAGTGCCGTTGGCAGGGTCCAACAACTGTTCAGTGGTTGGGAAATTTGTATTTCGCGGTTGTATAGTGTTGTCAATTTTTAATATGTTATAAAAGTTAAAACTGATACATGAGATAAATTTTTAATAAAACAATGTATAATATTCAATACATACCTATACCTAATTAATGATAAAATCATAATAATATATTTTAATATAGAATGAGTTTTTACTATTTGGCTTTTGTACATGTAAAGCACAACAATGTAGTAGAAATAATTTGTTTAAAACATTGCGTGTAGGAATTAGGTGACATTAGATATTCTCGTTATAGTTATAATATTTTTATATATTTTATTATTATAATATACCTATATTTTACATCTATGAAGTATTAAAACAAAAACTCGTTTTCTGATGAATTATCACTGTCGTTTAAAATATTTATTTTGAATTCTCAATACTAGGTGTAGCCATAATATTATAGTTTAGTACAGTATAATAATTATAGGGATGGGGCAATTTTCATCCACAAAAAAGGTTAGTTTTTTTGGACTAAAATTATGTCCAATGTCTTCCAAATATTTAAGTATTTAGCCGATATTTTAGATTGTACCAACTACCAATGTTGCTGTTGCAGTATTTTGTACCGTATTATAAAGCAAGAGTAAAGTCGTAACTTTAATTAAGACTAATGAAGATACATACTGATTATATTGTGTATCAGTTATTACCGAATATTATGATGGTTCTTATGATAACACGAAGAATTGTGTGAAGCAGACACACCAATGGGCGATATTTAATTTAATTTTTAGTAGAGTACTGTACGTAGACTAGTGACTATCTTGTAAGAATTGTGTTTTTTTGTAATATTTTATCAAATTTTAATTTTTAACATGTTTAAAAATTGATATTTATAGAAAGTTCCCGTGGAAAACCTTTGATAATTTGCGAAGATTACAATTAATATTTTTTAGCTCGTAAGTGAAAATCAGAATCTGGATTATCGTGTTGGTGATTTTGTTTAACAACTAAACTCTGTTCAAGTTAAGAAACGTAGTTGGCGGCCGTCTTGTGCGCAGTGGCGTGGCATTATAACACGTCAGGTATACAAATAATTGACTGGGTGGGGGGACAAACAGATGTGGCCTGACTGCTGCCCGATGAACACTGGTCGTCGCCGACTACGTTTCAACCTGAACAGAGTTAGGTATTACATTTTTTTTTGGTTAGTATAATATGAGTTAAAAATATATTTATTATACTCTTAATACTTTATCAGAGGAAAATGGTTAAGATTTATTTTTATTTATTTTTTCGGAGTAAAATGGTTTTCTCGTTATTGAAATGGTTACGGCCAATTATGGTTGTACCCTAAAATTTCGGAGATCGGGAAACTACCGCGGATGACTGGGTGGTCAAAACGAACGAGAAAAATGCGTTTTTTATTGCGAAATCGGCCAATTGCCTATATTGCTGCAACTCGTCCGAGGCCTGTCTTTATTGCCAAAGTTTACGATATAGCTGCTGGATGGCTACAATAATAATATAATATATTAATATGTGAATTCTAAAACCTGTGGTTGTCTTACCCAATTGTAATAATTACATCAATATAGTATAAGTACACTAACCATTTACAAAGGTACCCATAATTAATGTAAAATGTCCTAAATTTAACAACGTACGTTTTTAATAAATGGTTATTTACGAAAATCATATCTAATGAAAAAACAGTTTTTTTCTTTTGAATATGGGTTGAGCATTCCGTACATAGGTCATTATATAATATAACACAATAATATTATACTTCCATCGAGATATCGACCGTCTTACGACCTGCAGCAAGAGTAGTTGTGAATAACATATATTTATTTTTTTAAATTTCAATAATATTACATTAAACATGCGTAATATATTTATCACATGAATTGATAACGTCATGCAGTCAAATATTAATTATCGCAGAGCTACGATACTAAAATATTTTTGTATTTAATTTATTTAGGTACCTAGGTAATTTAGCTTTGGAAAACATATGATATTATTAAATGTGGTATGTGCTTCGTCGTGTATAATATATTGTAAGTAATTTTGTCATATATTGGCTATTTCGGCTGAAGTATTTCAAAATAGACCTACGTAAATTTTCCTTCATTGATTGGCATTATATTTTAATATTTACTAGGTATAAACTATAATATATAGGTAATATAATTTTTTTCTTGTCAAAAATGAGAAAAAAATATTTGTCAGAGTATGATGCATACATTTTATAAACTTGAATATATTTGATAATGTTATTTTGTGTTTCTATGATTTTAAAAGTTTCAACAAAAAAATTCAGAGTACCTATACTTTTATGATGGATTTGTCTATTGACTCTTCTCCATTAAAAAAAAATGTTTGTTTATTATTTAAATAAAAATAGAACATGGAAAATGATTTGAAATAAATTTAAATACTTATTGGAGAATAGGTATATGTAATATTTTTTCATTTAAATATTACAAGTAATATATTTAACAAGTGTAGAGTGACATGTGTGAATACAATATACACGTATTATGTGTGTGTTGGTGTATACAAAATTGTAAGAATTGTGCGTCGTTACTGAATTACTTTCGAGTTGTGTGTGTATTATAGTAGTATCGTGCTAATATTGTCGTATATGATCATCAAAATATGCAAGTACCTACAGTACTACACGAAAGGCTTCTTTCAAACGCCAGTGAACCGTAAACCAATTTCTAGGCCATATGAATAACATTAAAGGCCACGACGTACCATCACTGTATATTTACAACCAATGATACACATAATATTTCCATGTGTTACATTATCATATTACATTATTGCTATTTATGGTGTTTGAATTGTTCGCTGGATGTCTAACGTCAAAGGTCGAATGTTATATATTGTATCATGGTTATCGTACGTACATAATTTTTATTTTCTTCAAAACATCTACTTGGCTTATGTAACTCTATAAAATTGTTGTATGGTTATTAATAATTATTTATTAGGTACATAAGTAGATACATAACATGAAGGGTCGCATTCACCACGTACTATAATATAATATTATACTGACTGAAAATGATCCTGTTCGATCTAATGATATTCAAATGTTTTCTCTTGATTTAATTTTTTTTTTCGAAACTATTGCTATTGGCTACATACTCTAAGTTTAGTTTAGCCCAAACATGGTTAGTTGTTTATACATCTACTTTTACAGTTCTACTTAGATATTATATTTACTAATTTTATAATAACTTATAGAATAATGCAGTAAGTACTCTAATATTATTATTTACGAATGAGATTATTCTACCTAAATGGCTTAAAAATTAATTCTTGAAAAACATTTTAGTTTATCCACCAAGTAAATACATAGTAATACATAATAATTACTATAAAGAACAAAAAAAAAAAAAAAAATGGCAAAACTTTAAAAACTTAAAAATGCGTATAAACATGAGTATTTATATTATAATTTATAAACTTATAATTGTAAATTATTTGATCTTCCAATACTTTTTATTTTATATCTTGAAGAAAATATTTTTTTCAGTTATTTTTATTCTATAAGAAATATTTGTTCTCAATGTTTTATGGAAACGTAGAAAGGCCAACTGATTATCACTAGGAAAAAATTACATATCGTTCACATAACATAACTTCTTTATTGATTGACAACAATTTATTGTTTGGATGACAAAATACACTGTTATATAATTGTATTGTTATCACTAGATAATTTCTCGTTTTCACAGCAAAACGTTATTATTTATAGGGACCCCGAAATTACGTGTACTTATAAAGGTTTAATACATTTTTTTTTTAGCGGTTACGTTTTATGAAAATTTAGAGTAAAGACAAACATATTGTCCAAAAGTCCAAAGTTATCTCTTCTACGCTTCAGTGTAATGTACAAAGGTGTTAAAAAATTGAAAAAAAAAACTATAAACGCATAAAGTTCAAATTGAGGTGCAAGAAAATGTAATAAAATGAACGATAGTACGATAAACAAAACTGTTATTAAGAAACTCGTAAGTGTTAAGTATAGGTACCTACCTATAATGATTTCATGTGCTACACTAATAAATATTTAAAACAAATAGGTATAGGTACTTCTGAGTATAGGTAATACAATTTATTTTGAGGTTAGCTATAAAATGTTATCGTCTCTGCAGATCATGTGTATTAAAATATGTACCTATATTATATTATACAACATAGTATCTACCTACACCAATACCTATTACCTTGTAATAATATATGGTTACCTATACTACCTACTACTTTTAATATGATAACCGAGTGAAAAGCGGTCGTGTGGCTTTTCCATTTGTCATTATTTTTGTATAGACTATAAATACTTATAATAACGGCAAACGTTATAATAGATAGGTATTGCTATCCGTCGGTCGACCGCAAGACTATTATGTCATAATAAGTGATCATTGGACGACACATACAATTCCTGTTTATTATGATTTGCCACTATTTAAGTATAATATGTATCATGATATATCATGTGGACCTTTCAACAGTGTTCAACGAAACATATTATGCAAAGCTTACCAATTTGGAAGGATATGGAAGTATTACTAAACCTTCCCTCATCACTCCTTATTAGGAGTATTACATTCACTTTTCATAGTTAACAATTT